AAAAGGGGAAGGAAGCAGAGAGAATGGGAGTAAGAGATGGGGAAGAATGTTCCAGGAGCTGCTGCCTGTCAAGAGTTGCTGATCAGAGCCATAATGTATTACATACTGTATGTGTTGTAGATTCCAAACAGCATGCCCAGGTATTTGTCTGTTTGAATGGTACTGCTATCATAGTAGCAATCCTATTGTGACAGTGTAATGTGGCTTTTATAGGACCGTCGCAAGGTGTACTCAATCCTGAAGGGTGAGGGAATTGAAATTCCTCGCTATGCTGTACTTGACCGGGATTCCCCTGACCCAAAACGTGAGTAATTCTGCATCTAGCCTGAAGGCAATGTAATCAGGTTTTCATCCAGCTGTTTGTCAATGGTAACTTTGCAGTCATTAGATGGCGAGCACTTGAATTATGCAATGCCCATTATGTGCTTGCTAAAACTGAAGAATGCTGCATGTTGTATGAATTGTATTTATTTTGTTTCAATGACACATGCTTTCAATCCACTGTGATGTGATTGCCAAGCCAACAGTGAGCTGAAGCGTTTGTCAGTCACAGAGGTTTCAAATTTTCCTTCAGGTATCAATGAGATTGTCATTAACTTTAGATCTGGTTAGCAAACATAGTTTTTGTATTCTACTTTTCCTGTTTCCTCTTTCTGTTTTGGTTTGAAAAGTAGCGTATATTTCACATGGCCAAACAAATTTATTTATTTATGGTTTGTGTAAAAGCTTCACATTTGTTGCCTTTTAGAATTGAAGATTTGCACAATATGTTCATATGCACATAATTCTTGGTACTCTCAATGCCACTTTCATAATATTTGCATTGCAATCAGAATATGTGATTCATAATGGTGTGGTTTAGTACAAATCTGTACTGCACTTACATCATTGTCAGCATTAGAATTCAATAGCGTGTTTAACTGTGCCCTTGGAAGATTGTATGACGGTCATACCAAAAGCAATGAGCACAACTATTGTACACTGAAACAAATGCACATGAAAGGAAACATACTGTCAATAGTACCTGGACATGTCCTACCACAAGCCTACAAAATCTCCAAAATGATCTACACATTTCATCCAGTGCTGCCTGGGCTTAAAAGTCCTGCTTCATTAGAAATACATTCCATCACCTTTCAACCAACTGTGTGTGGCTTCACAGAGTTTGTCTGCTTTCTCATATTGCTGGCATCTCATGTGATGGGGTCAAGTGTCTGGATTTGTGGTGGGTTTGGGAGCACTTCTTAGCCATTCTTTGCCACTGTCTCCAATGTCAGGCATACAATAAGAGGTCAAGCATTATTCTGTGGTAGATAACGGTCTCTTTCATCCCTGAAGACTCACTTTGATGGTACAGTTTTTTTCTTTCTTTCTTCTCCTCTTCACATCCTTCAAGCATAAATGATAAGGATTTGTGTTGGTTTGTTAAACTTATAGCAATTTTTAAAAAAGTAAAGTGGAAGTATCTTTTGGCAGGTGGCATAAGGAACAGTTCTTTGTGCAGGTGTATACAGCAGGGAGTGTGTTTCTTACATAATGTTGGTGCTCTTGTTCCTTCTGAGATCAAGTCTTTGGAATATAACTGGTTATAACTGAAATATTCTGTTTTGTAGATCATGAATTGGTGGAGTCAGAAGACCATGTGGAAGTGAATGGTGTTGTGTTCAACAAGCCATTTGTGGAGAAGCCGGTCTCAGCTGAGGACCATAACATTTACATCTACTACCCAACATCTGCTGGAGGAGGTAGTCAAAGATTGTTCCGTAAGGTAAGGTATACCAGAATTAACCACTTGTTTATTTATTAACCTCATTCACTGGACCTGTGACTGAGGTTAGGTTTTTCTAACAGACTCAGCTGAGTAGGTGCTCCTTCCCTTTTCACCTGAGATCGGAAACAGACCCAGTTTCCGAAACATCCTGTTTTTTTGAATACCAGTTATTGGAGAAAGTCCAAGAATTCAGTAATCCTTAGGAAAAATCATATTATCATGATTTGATTTGGATTCACCTACAACCAGTTCCAAATTGAAATTAACAACAAATACTGTAGACACTAGTGTGTTAGAAAATGAAACAAATCACCTACTGATTTAAAATAGGTTTGCCAGCTATGAACATCAACAACAACAAAAATACTAAGTGACATAGTGACTTCCTTCTTACAAGCAAGTTCATCTAAATGATACTTAATGAAATGTCAAACTCTGTTTCTGTGGTAAAACACCAAGATATGAGTTAATAACTTCTACATATTTTTAAAGTTCAGTGTGAAACACTTCTTGACTGGATTTTGAAAAAAAGGAATTTGTTAATGCCTTCCTCTATGACACCAACGGTATGTATTTATGTCAGCGAACTGAGGTCATCTACTAGGTTTGTCATTTTTTTTTATTGTAACAGTAACTTGATAACACTATTTTAATAAAGGACTTCAAGTGATATTACATGATAATGTGGTAAATGATGATTTAATTTAAAATCATTCATGCTAGGGAGGAAAATTAAGTTTTTTCTACTATGCAGATTGGCAGTCGTAGCAGTGTGTATTCCCCAGAGTCCCGGGTCCGTAAAACAGGATCATTCATCTATGAGGACTTCATGCCCACTGATGGGACTGATGTCAAGGTGAGGTAGCAGTGTTTTTGATGTAACAGATTCCATGCTTGATGGGATATCTTTTATTATCTAATGCAAATATTCTCACATTGGCTATGATTTAACAACAAGAAACTCTTGTTTTTCAGTATTCCAAAGAATTAGAAATTTGCTTTTCAGGATCTTGTAAATCCAGTAGCTTCTTTGTTATATGTATCTGATCAAGTCTTTGAAGAGATGCACACAATCATTTGGAACATTAAGGACTTGCTGAAGATAATTCTTTTTAATGCTTGCTTAAAATTTGGTTTGTATGTTTATTATCTGACTTGCAGTACACACACAGTTTGTGCAGGAAAGAATCTGTTCTGCTTTTCTAATGTAGACGCGCACGTCATTACATCATTATGGTGCTAAGCAGTGCCCTTCTATTATATATATATATATTAAGGGACAATGATGGCAGCTGTAGTCTGATATTTAGCACGAGCTGCCTTTGCATCATCGAGTCATTACATTTATGAATGTTAGTTACTGCAGAATTGTATTAAGCCAGTATGATTCTATTAGTAGCTTAACCCAATAGTGGGTCATTGTCGCCTCCTTTCGGAGGTTTCCTAGTCTTTGAAGTGTGCATTTATGAATAGTGAGTGACCAGTCCACTGACTCTGCACAATTTGTACTCACTCCTGATTTGACTGCCAGAGCCATCTAGCAGTGAATCAGGAGAGACTTGGGTGAGAAATGGCCGCTGGATTTTGCTTACGAAACATCTCGTATCATGCTCGCAAGGTTCTTTTACATGCCTTAAATCTACGACATGGGACCGCCGACTTTACTTCCCCTCTGAAGGAAGTTGTACTACGGATTTTTATCACCCTTAAAAATCCATTGACGTCGGCTGGGATTGAACCCACAAAATTTGGGTCCAGCGGCAAGCACACTAACCACTAGTCCACCGAGGGCGACAAGCCATTATGATTGTACTTTGTTAAAAATAAATTCCTATGTTATATGTGTAGGTGTACACGGTGGGTCCTGACTATGCCCATGCTGAGGCTCGTAAATCACCTGCTCTGGATGGCAAGGTGGAACGGGACAGTGAGGGGAAAGAGATCCGCTACCCAGTTATCCTTAGCAATGATGAGAAACTCATCTCCAGGAAGGTGTGCCTTGCCTTCAAGCAGACTGTGTGTGGATTTGACCTGCTTCGGTGAGCTGCATGACATTTTTAATTCTGTTATAGGCCAATATATAATTTTAACAATACTCCCAGCTCCAGGAACAGGAAGTGCAGGCATCCTAGGAACATGCCTGTGTGGTAAAGCCTCAGGGGTTAAATACTGATTTAAACTACGTGTGGAGGGCATTCATTTTCATAGAAGACTATATGATCATCTGCTGATTCAATGCTACTGTTACCCCATCTGGTCTGCTGTATTCCCAGTAAATCTAAGTCATATTTTTCTAACTCTCTTGCCACTGTTTCTGATATGTATTCCATTGTGCCTTGTAAAGGGTACTTGTACTAGCTGATGTACACTTCCTTGCTGCTTCCTTAGAACTTTTGTGCTTTAATATCTTGTTAACCTGGAAAGAAGGCAGACCATTCGTGCCTTGACTCATTGTGAACATATTACTTACTAATACATTATGTGTCCACTAGATATCTTGGGAAAATTCTTCAAATTTCTGAAATAATATCTGTACAGTATAGTGTATGTATAGCCACATGAATCCACTATATGTGTCCTGACGCACCATTGTCTTCAGGTAACCTACTGATACATTAATTGTGTTGTATAAATAAATTAATTGTACTGATGATATGATTATGTTACCAGGGCAAGTGGAAAATCATTTGTGTGTGATGTAAATGGGTTCAGCTTTGTGAAGAATTCAAACAAGTACTATGATGATTGTGCCAAGATCCTGGGAAACATGATCCTCCGGGAGCTTGCACCCACATTACACATTCCCTGGTCTGTACCCTTTCAGCTGGATGATCCACCAATCGTACCCACAACATTCGGAAAGATGTGAGTGAGCAGCTTTTTATTAAGTGATCACTTCCCCTAAGCATGATATGAGTAACAGATCAGGGGTACTGCATCTCTTAGTATAGCATTTGCTTTCAGGTCAAGTGAGTGCTTTGTATACGTAAGCATTGTTCTCTTGAGTGTAGCCATATGAAACAGTTTTTTCTTCTTTGTGGATCTTATTCTGGGTTATGTTTCCATTTTCAGATCAGTGCAACTCCCAATAGCAGGTTTATTTACTGAAACTGTTGGATGTAGAATGTCACCATTTACACTGGTGACCCAACTTTCTCCCTTATGTACCTTAGGTGGTTTTATATGTTGTCACAGAAGTCATTGTACAGTACTTATACAACTGAAGCAGTTCTGTGTATAAAATGGCATGATGCTATGTCAGACATGTATATTAATTCGTAACAGTGCATTTGTATTGCCACAGATATTGGTGAATGACAGCTAGTTGGGGGATTCCCTTTGATTTTATTTAGGGAGTTTCCATTCCAAGTACAGTGCAAGGTTGGCAGTATGTAGGGATGTGTTGTTGCTCATGTTTTTGCTTAAATGAAGCAATTTTATTGACTTTATATTACAGAAGGCTTGGCTAACTCCACCCTTTCTCTTTCCGGCTTTCCCACCGAAATTCAACTTCACCAAATTGGAAGCTCATCATCAGTTTGTGAGATGTGAAATATTTGCATTTGTACTTTAGTGTATTATTACTCATATGCAACTATAAAAAGTTGATGCAAAAAGGTGATAAAGGAGACACTGCTCAAGAGTGATTTATTCACTGTCATTAACATGGCCATGTTATTCTCAAATTGAATTGTGTTATTCTCTTTAAGATATAACATGGTATCTAGAAAGAGAGAGGAGATATAACTGTGACTAATCCTACAGGATGGAGTTACGGTGTGTGGTGGCTGTCATTCGTCATGGTGATCGGACACCCAAACAGAAGATGAAAGTAGAAGTACGGCATCCAAAGTAAGTTGTCCTTACTGTCCTAGGCGTTGTTAAGAAAGTGCAGTTTGTTCTTAAACCTAAAATTCAATGCATGTTCACAGAATTTTATTGTAACAGTGGTAGTGCTTACAGTTACTATGTTCAATGCCTGAGTTTAGTTCCTATTGTAAGATTTGAGGTTTTCATAGTGGTGAGTATGAAGAGTTCTGTCTTCTGGGTTGTTGCACTGTGTAGTCTGGTCGATGTTTACCAACGTTTCAGAGGTCATACTGCCTCCGTCATCAGGGCGATGAGTATGAAGATTTCTGTCTTCTGGGTTGTTGCGCTGTGTAGTCTGGTCGATGTTAACCAACGTTTCAGAGGTCATACTGCCTCCATCATCAGGGCGATGAGTATGAAGAGTTCTGTCTTCTGGGTTGTTGCGCTGTGTAGTCTGGTCGATGAAGACAGAAATCTTTAGTTCCTGTTGTTTCTAAATTGTTTGTGACATAAAATTAAGGGTTGTTCGAACAGTTCACATATTAGATGTGCTTACATTCATATTCAGAGTTGGAGGAAGTACCTGTGGTGTAATTATTTGTCCATATGTATGAAACACTTTTCTGGGTAGTTGGATCTTCATGGAATATAACAGCCATGTTCTTTCATAAAATTTATTGGTCAGACTACAGTTTGTTCTTTTTAAACAATTTGTTTGCTAGATATGTGCGAGTCTTGACAACCTAATTCTTACCACAAAATATGATGGATGGCATTCAGTCACTGATTAAAAAATGAGAATTCTTAAATACATCACTGTTGTCAGACACCCTATAGGAATTCAGGGATGATGCATATTTCAGCAACTGTATGAAATTCTGAAAGGCATGATGAATTTTATGCATCGTGTAAGAATTTTCAGATGTGATTTCTTTAGTTAACACATAAAAGTTTAAATGTATAGGGTTTTAACTTCCACTCACAAATTCTTGTATGCAGTAGATTTCAGTCACCTCATTTCAAGTATTTGAAGTCACATGATAACTTCCAGATACCATACAGAAATTTTGTCTGATGTGAGGCTTCATCTTTCATAATTATTTCAGAGATTAGAAACGATTTTGATGTCTCACAGTGGGGCTTTTATTGGGAATGGAAAATGTGGGAAGAAAGTGGCCTGTATTTTGTAGTGTAACCAAATACATTTTCAAAGTTTTATCCATAAGGACATTTTCTATTGAATCACTTGCAACTTAATTTTTCTCACTTGTGTCACATTGTCGTGATGAAACAAAAATTATGTTACTGGGTTTTAAACTTGAAATCGTGTTCCCACTGTAAAATAAGATTGGTGTTACAGGTTTTTTGAGGTATTTGAGAAATATGATGGATACAAGGATGGTCATGTGAAGCTGAAGCGTCCAAAACAGTTGCAGGAAATTCTTGACATAGCACGTTCACTGCTAAATGAGATACAGCACAGAGCAGCTGATCCTGAGATTGAGGAGAAGCAGGGCAAGTTGGAGCAGCTCAAAAGTGTCTTGGAGATGTGAGTATCTGCTGACATTCTACAACTGCTGTTAACTCCATTCAAGTGAAAAACAAAAAGTTGTGGGGAAAACTTAGAATAGCAGCTTCCTTCAATTGTATTGTTTTTACCTGTGCAGGGAGGCTAGCTAAATCGCATAAATAAAGTGATAAGTCAGTATTTTTGCACACAATTGTGTAACATAACCCCAGAAGTTTGTGCTATCAGCAGATTGTATCTTTTTATCATTAATATTTTTCTTATATGAAAAATATTATCATTAAACAAGGCATTATTTGTTAGATGGTAGCCATCTGGGTTGTTGCAGTGGGGAGTCTTGAGGTCATATGCCAATGCTTTGGAGGAATATGCTGCCTCCATATTCAGGGTTGTATAATTGACATCTGCAATGCTACATGATCTGAACTCATATTGCAGTGAAAACCTCATATCTTACAAGACATTCTGTTGTGCAGGTATGGACATTTCTCCGGCATCAATCGAAAAGTGCAGATGAAATACCAACCTAAGGGCCGGCCTCGTGGCTCCAGCTCCGATGATGGTAAAGGTTTTAGTACGGAACATTTTACTACTACTACTACTACTAATATTACTATTACAAGTACTGTGAATACAGATCAGTTGTGGTTACAACCTTGTGACTGTATTGAAGTAAACAGAATTCCTCAGCAATACAGTAGTTACATTTAGTAATTAATTACATTAAATGTTCATTTAAGTGGTGTGTGCGCGTGCGTGCATGTTGTGCAGTAGTGAACTTCAGACAAAATGCTGCAGTATCACAGAAGTTTTAAACTATAATGTTATGTACTTCATGTTTTAAAGAATTAACTGTGACAGGTTGTTTCCACAGAAGATTCCAGTGCACTGTTTGTAAATTTGTGTTTGATGTATCATTTTGGCACATTATCTTAGAGACTATAGTGTGTGTATTAATCCCTTCAGTCTCATGTTTATGAAACACATCAAGTTCTAGAAATAACCATTTTGACATAAGGATGAAGGTGTACACCCACATAACTCAAGTGGCTAAATTTATACCATGAATGTTGCACTGCTCTGCATGATTGGCAAAAGTTTAAGTTTATCACAAATGTTTGCTGCTTATTGTATTGTCAACCTGAGCATAGGTCAAATTTTTGTGTTGATGTACAAAGGTCATATTATATATGAAAGATTCCTCACAGTACACTTAATGAAACTGCCTGTTTTAAGTAATGCAAGCAGCATTTTTATGTATATCATTACAGGAATATATCCTGAACATTTAGAATACAGTGATTTTTGTATCTACAGTGATAACTATCTGACTTGTCATTTCTTTCTCTTATTCAGTTTTTAGTATAATGTTTCAGAATAAGTAATTCCATATTAAATGTGAATGCCATGCTTGACAGCAGTGAGTTTTAAATGCATCCAAAGAAATAAATCTGACTGCTAAATCTTCATAATCTATTTAAAAATTCATATGATGAAGCTTAATATTGAAATGGGATGTGAGAAATGTTCTGCAATGCATCTTGGATTCATTTTACTCAGGATAGAGTCCACTATTGTGATGAATCTTAAGTGGCACCTTCTGTAAGTTTTCACTGAAAAAATTGATACAGTTTGTGTGACTGTATTAGGCTTATCATAAATCTGATCATATGCCCTTGATATTTATTATTGTTGCTGTGTTGACAGATGCTCCCAAGGAGCCATCATTAGTGCTGATCCTCAAGTGGGGTGGAGAACTCACACCTGCTGGACGCATTCAGGCAGAAGAACTGGGGCGTATTTTCCGATGCATGTACCCTGGTGGCCAAGGTAGACACCTCAGTGGTTCGTAGTCCAACATAATCTACATTTAGTAGTTAGTGTCTTCCTCTTCTGCTGTCGGCTTCTTAGATAGATGGACGTGCCAGTAGGTCGATTCTTTTGCGGCAGAAGCTGATGTAGACCATCCACTTGCACATCTACCATTTTTTCTGTCGTCTTATCTCACTGGCTACAAGACATGAGTTACAATATACGTTTTTTTAAGAACTTGAATTGTTTTGTGAACTTAATCCTGTAAGAGTGAATGGTTGTATTAGTGATGATACATTTACACTCAATCCTTAATAGTACCTCAATGAACATGTGTATTCTAGACAGAACAAATTATGATCTTGTGAGATAGAATTAATGAGATTCTTTAAGACCTGGCTGAAACTTTAATGCATCTGTTATTTTTCACATCTGTGCTACATGCCTCATCATGTCATCTTCCTTGATATGATGGCGCTAAATGTTCCAGACAAAACTTGTAGTGATATTTGTGATTCCTACCATTTCTGATTTTGTACAGGTTTGTCTGTAATCATGTGGTCTCAGTATTATTTTCGATTTTGGTCATAAGCAGTCCCATGTTCTCTATTACCTCCCCATTCCTCCCTGCTTCCTTGTATTCTTCCTTCATAGTCCTTTTAATTTATGGTCACTTCTAGTTTATGCATCACTTCTTGCTTACTGTTAAGTTTATATTTAAGAACATAATAGGATGGTTTGTTTATAACCTTTATATGTGTGTAATTTAGTGAACTGTATTGTAGACTGTAATTGTTAAATTGCTGCCTGTCTTATATGTTTCTTAACCCATCTACTCTTGTAATACAAATAGTTGGTCTTAAAAGAATCTCATTTCAGTTGCTTCTAATCAACTTCTTTTCCTCATTGCCATATTCAGTGTTGGGCTTCTGCTTAATGTACTTACTGCTACCATTGCTATGTAGATTTATAATTTTGTCTACAGTGTACACTTTGTTGTTCCACTTATACACTTTACGTTTTTTTTAGTTTTATGATTTAAAAATTAAACAGCCTAAAAATATTAACCATGTGTATGAGAATATAAGACACAATTATTTTTTAAATTGCATGCCCATAATACTAGGGTGCAGCTTATAAACAAAATATTTTATCATGACATGGTAAATGGTATGTATCACAACTAGTTAGAAAGTGTTGCATTACAGTTTCCTGTGTAAAGACATTGCAGATGTTTCAGTAATAGTAAATACAGTCGAACCCTGATACAGCACCCATGTATATGTCACCATCCTAAGAAAGGAAATATGTTGTGCATACTATATTAAAATTCAGGTAATTGTGCCATCCGTTAATCGGGGCAGCCATTTATTTGGGACAAATCTTAAAGAAGAAAAACAAATCGAGAAAATAACCGGAATTAGTATCGCTTAATTGGAACACCGTGCCGTTTAATGGGGACAGTGAGTGCTAGATGGTGCGCTTGTGGCATGGAGGAGTCAGTGAGTCATCGCTGATTCACTCAGTAATGAACACATGCATATTCAGACAATGTATCGATTCTGTTTGCAACAATAAGTAGCAGGACCATTAAGAATTGCATTGCTCACTGTGGTTTTAAGCATTCAGGCTTGGAGATGCCAGATATGACCAATAGTGAAAATGACGCCATTTTGGAAGTGCAACACATCAGAAACTACAAAGAGTGTGGATGTATTGACAATATTCTTCAGTGTTACAATGAAAATGAAGATTATGAAGACGCAGTTGTTGAACAAATTGCAGCAAAACACCAAAAGACCAGGAAAGTGATGAGGACGACACACCTGAGCTTCAGCGAATGAATAACCAGAATTCCAGAAAATTTGCTGCTGGATTACAACGCTACTACATGCAAGAAGGCAATGAAGACAGTTCTGTATCTGCACTATATACCTGTGCGTATGTTGTTCAGTTTCAGTCAATCAAGAGAACACTAGGTTCAACAAATATTGACAGTAATTCAGCAGTTTGTCATACAAACCAATACTATTGTGATCAGTAAGCAGAATTTGGGAGATGGACTCTTTTGAAGTCTGGGTCTCTTGCTGTCTTGTTTTTACATTTGTCGCCCTCAGATATTTTGCAACCACTCCACTGGAAATTGCATTTTTGCAGGTTTAACAGGCAGTGTTTATAGTGTGATTGGTTGTCATTGACTCAAAATCAGATCTTTGCCATTCCTGGCCTTATTTTCTGTGAATTCATGAATTTTGTAGGTCTTATTGATTTATTATCGTAGCATATCCATTGACTGCATCTGATACAGGTGAATATGCTGGCACACAAGGTCTGGGTCTTCTCCGCCTTCACTCCACATTCCGTCATGACCTCAAAATATATGCCTCGGATGAGGGCCATGTCCAAATGACGGCAGCAGCATTTTCAAAGGGTTTGTTGGCTTTGGAGGGAGAGCTGACTCCTATCCTGGTGCAGATGGTGAAATCTGCTAACACAAATGGACTGCTTTACAATGATTGTGACTCTAGCAAGTACCAAAACATGTAAGTATCAGATGCAAGTACATTCTACCAAACATAGACCTTGAATAATGTGGTATCCAAGTGTTTCATTATTAGATCAGCTGCAATTGAGACCTAGATTTATTATAAATAATTGTATCTTATTAATTTAATTAACTGATACTAAGTGAATGTAATTTTCCTCCTTTGCTCTGTAGAGTTTTTTATGATTTCTCCTAGTACTAAATATATGTGAATCTAAAATCCTTAAAATTGTGAATTTCATAGTGAAAAACAGGATTTTAATTTTGTTGTAGGATTTTTTCTACTTTATAGCGGTCAATGAGGAATAGAAAGTAATATAACAGAAAAAGTCTTCTAACAAAAGTTATAATCTTGTTACTTGCAACAGTAATATGTATTTTGCACATTATTACAGTTCTTTATAATCTGTAACTGTGACCGTAATGTTTATATATTGTCATTTTAAGAAATATTTGTGTTGTGGAAAAGGCAGGGAAATTGTGCACCAAGTAGTTGATTATATTGTTCAGCATGTTTGTGCCTCCTTGGAGATTAGCTCTGATATGGTCATGAAGACCCTAAAGGAATTTGAATTCACCAGGTAACAAAAGGTTAGGATTGACAGTGCTAGGAATATGTTGAATGTGCAGCTGTAGGCAACTAGAGCTGGTCCTCTAAGAATGGCTATCCTTCACCATAAATTTTTTTTTTTATCTGAATGTATACAGTAACTTTTTTAGGTTATCTTTTGGACAGTACAGATGAAAATTCAAGTATAGCATTAAAATAGATATTGTGGAATGGAATGAACTGTTTAGAGTACATATTGTATAATTGTGGGCTTTCATGTTATTGGTGATTTGTAATGTTCTGTTATCAAAGAAGTCACTGAAATCAGTTTCTTGATGAACAGGAAATATTTGTAAATGTAAAGTGTTATCACTTTATAAAAAAAAACTTAAGAAGTTGTCTTAACTCTTACTTTGTGAGATAGAGTTGAATCTTGTCTGTGTTATGGTTCATGTTTTGTGCAGGGCAAAGTCACGCCTTCATGAATTGATGCAACAGGATCGGGATTTCACAGCAGAGGATCGTGAGAAGATTAATCCTGGAAATGCACTCAGCATCTCCACTGCACTAGACTTTGTTAAGAATCCTGTCAAATGCTGTGAGCATGTGCAGGACTTGATTCAACGACTTATGGATATTGTGCGCATCAAGAAGGATGATACTAAGACCAAAGGTATTTCATATATAGCTGGTTGGGGGAACATCATGTTACACAGAATTTAACATTAAACATTAGATGTTACATTGGACGTGAAACTGGACAGTGAAGATGTGCAAACCCCAATGCAGTGAAACCTCGTATTTAGGTTTCTGGAATGTGTGTAGTTTCATTTTAATTTCCTGGGTTTCATGCAATTTTGTGTTTTTTTCTGTCAAGTGAGAGAGAAAGAGACAGGTGAAGTTTGTTTTAAACTGTTGGCTGCTCAAATGAAATTGGTTGCCATCTTGCAAGAGTTGTTGTGCCTTTCAATGTGTGATTTTTACAAGTTAGCTGCTATTATTATTATTTAATCTGTTGTCTGAGTGTGCTTTGTATACTGCAGTTGTTTTATTTAAATGTGTGTATTTTATGACAACACAAAAGGAAAGAAAGACTTTCCTTAAGGAAAAAAAAGCTCACCATACAACAAGAAATTGACAAACATGGGATGTTGCAGTGTGTAGTCTGGTAGAATTTTGCCATGTAACAGGCTAGTGTTTTATGAGATCTCAGGTAGACATTCCAAGACTCACCCAGATGAATGGGTACCCAAACAGGGCTGCCCATGATATAGGCAGATACTGTTAGTTATACAATTGGCATAAACAGCCTGACCCGCCCTAATTTTTAAGAATGTCTGCATTTAAGTGGATATCAGGAGGACACTGAAGACCAACTAGATGATTGAAACTGACATTTCAGACATGCTTATTGCTTCCATCATCAGGGAGATGACTCATCACACATACACCATAACCATTCCTCTCCATCCAAAATAAGGTTAGTAGAGTAGATCTTAGGGGAAAAAAGTAAAGCTATCCTGCTGTTCACCATGTAGGTACTTGCTTAATCTCAGCACTAGATAGGGGTGAGTGGTCAGCATCACACCCCAGTCACGCTGGTACCCATTGGACAGGAGGCTGGGTATGCCGCAGAGCCAGTCCTGACACAGAGTGTGGAGGAAAAATCTTTTGCCCTTGTTGGGGATTGAACCCTGGTCATCGAGTCCATAGTCAGTCATTATACTGGCTGAGCTACCCCAGAGGAGGATAATCAAAGATGTCCATATTTTTAAGAAAGATGTTTAAGTACGTAAATTATTAACATAATCCACAAAATTCTTGTGTTTTTCAGATGCTGTTTTGTACCATGGGGAGACATGGGAATTGATGGGAAGACGCTGGGGCAAGATTGAGAAGGACTTCTGCACCAAGAACAAGACTTTTGACATCTCGAAAATCCCTGATATTTATGACTGCATTAAGTATGACCTGCAACACAACCAGCATACTTTGCAATTTGAGCAAGCAGAGGAGTTATACATCAATGCCAAATACTTGGCTGACATTGTTATCCCTCAGGTATGTTTGCCATTTAGAACATCAGTGAGCTACTTTGTGCAGAGTGGCTGAATATGCTCTGAAGTGAGTTTTTGTCTGTTAACCTGCTTCGTGCCGATGTGGTTAGCACACCATACTCATGTTGATATTGTCACATCTGAAGAGTTCTGGAAGGTTTGTCTGTAATATTATATTCTTGGAGTGTCATCTATTGGCCACAATGTAACAGTCAGTGCTTTTGAATAGGAGGCACATTATTCTGTGTTCTTGTTGGCAGAGGGAAAGAAAAAATAATGTTTAGAAACCTAACAGCTGT